TCATCCCATCCAACAAACTACCACACTCCAGTATCATCAAACTCCTCCCATACAAAACACCCCTCCCCCCTCCTCTCTTCCCCTACCCCTTCTCCTCTCTTCTCCCCTCCTCTCCCACATCTCCTCATCTCCCCTCTTTTCCCCCTCCCCCCTCACAATATAAGTCCTCCTCACCCCTTACCTTCAACAACAAACAAACACCAACCAACGCCCGTTTGGCTTAGCGGTAAAGCGCATCACTAGTACTTGTACATGATGAGATCCTAGGTTCGATTCCTAGAATGGGCATTTATTTTGTTCTTTTATTTTGTTTTGTGTTGTGTGTTTATTTATATAAGTTTTATTGGCGAATTTTTGGTTTGGGGGGGGGGGCCGGGGGGTTTTTGGATGGATGGATGGATGGATGGAAATTTCAAAGTTGTGCGGAAAAGTGGCAGAAAAGTGGTAGTAGAGAAATGGATGAATAGATCAAATACGTGCAGTCTAGGTCCGGATTTTGGTGGTGATTAGTGGGTAGTGTGGGTGGATGGATGTGGATTGATAGATGGTGGAGACTGGAGGGAGGTAGGTAGGTAGCCCGAGCGGTGAGAATTTGTAGGTATCGGTATGTTTTGTCTTGAAAACTGATTGTGAATGAATGAATGTAGTATATGAATGAATAATGGCAGGATTGACATCAATATCAAATAATGTAAATTTAGAGATAGAGTCAACAATGTCAGCAATGTAGTCGAGTAGTCTAGTCTAGTAGGTTTGTAGATAGATACTAATCAATTTTATTGTAAGATTAGGAAATCTCTTGAATTTCTCGGAACAGTGATGGGGACTCAACGAACGGCCATGAGATGAGATAATATTATGGGGTTTAGTATGTAGCATAGGAGGGAGATATGGAGATATAGTGAAGTGGAAATGATAACAACGTTTGAATGAATACTCAAGAAATCAGGAATCATATAAAGCTGCTGCAAAATGGGTATAATTCATGAATACTTCATGAGCTCTCCATCTCTTAATCGGAACGACACATTTTTTGAAAAAACTGCGGAATCATTAAAAGAATTTGTTGTGATATAATTTTTAATTTTTTGGTTTTTACTATTTCAGATCTCTTCCATCATTCAGAGAAATAAATACATTGTTTACTATAAATCCATATTAGCATCCCAATTGAACAACCATTCAATAAATAAAACTCACCTCAAAATCCGCAATCTTAAGAACCGCCTTTCCAAAGTTCTTTCCCGCAAGCATACCAACAAGTCCCTCTGGACCATTATCAATACCCTCGGTCACACTCAAAGTTGCCTTGAAGCTTCCATCCGCCAACCACTTTGCCACATTCTCATCTCTTGCCTTAGCATGTAAAGGACCCATGTTCGCATCCGAGACAATGAAACCTCTCATTGTAATTCTCTTTGCCACGACATTCATCAAGTTCTTGATTGGCCATCTGTCGCTTTCGACTTTGTTGTACTCGCTAATCATGCCACAAGCGACGATTCTTCCATAGTCGTTCATCGCGTTAATGGCCGCCTCTAATTGTTCTCCTCCTACATTTTCGTAGTAGATGTCAACACCATTTGGCGCAAGACGCTTAAGGGCATCGGCTGGTTTCTCGGTTTTATAGTTGAAACCTCCGTCGAATTTCAAATCATCGATGATGTACTTTAGTTTGTCGTCGGAACCAACGGATCCGATAACTGTGAGGCCTTCGTGTTTGGCAAGTTGTCCAACGAGTGCTCCAACGGCTCCTGAGGCTGAGGATATGAAAATGGTTTCGCCCTTGACGGGCTTGCCGATTTCGTAGAAAGAGGAGTAGGCGGTTAATCCGGGCACTGAGTGAAGAAGAATTATTAGTATGGTTGTGATGCCTGCGTTGATTGGAATAACTTACTGCCCAATGCACCAATGAAATGCTTCACGTCCAAGTTGTATGGGTTCTCAATTTTGTTTGCGCCATCTGCGAGTTGTTTTGGGAGAGCAGAGTACTCTTCAGTCCAAATGAAACCAGTGAGAAGATCTCCTGATTGAAATTTAGGGTTGTCAGACTTGATAACTTTGGCAACGGTGTTGTTGTTGATAGGTTGTCCCAATGGGAATGCTGGGGAGTAAGACTTGGATTCTGCAGCTCTCATGCGTCCACGTTGATAAGGATCGAAGGAAGCATAAAAGTTCTTGGTTGTGATACCTCCTGCTGGTGGTGCTTGCTCGAGATCGAATTCGCGGACTTCAACTACCAAGTCTTTTCCTGCAACAGGAACTCCCTGAGGAACTTGCTTGAAGATAAGACCTTTGTTTTGAACCATGTTTGCTGTTTGAGTTGATATATTTGTGTTATTGGAATGTGAGAATGTCAAAGAGAAAGCAATTGAGTATAGCAACAAGGAAATGGAATGTATAGAGATATATATATATATGAGCAAAGTCTTTGTAATTGAAAAACCCTTGGACATGACGCGATTGCTAGCAAATGTTCTTATTCAAGCTCAAACCATGAAATCCATATAGCCAGCCTTTTCACAACTACCTGCCTTTTGGGGGGGCATACCAATATTGAACACCTCTCATTCGCCGCCTTCAAGGACATCTTCTCCATTGAATCAACATCTCCGTCTTTCAACGATTTGCGATTTGCGTAGATGAGACTGAAGTTTGAGTTTATGTGTTATATTGGTAAGCTTTTGGTTGAAGAATGTGGATACGAAATTCTGTTTTTGCTCATCATATTCTATGCCGAGGTTGTCGGTTCTTCAAGGTTCAAGTGTTCACCCCGCCAAAGCCGCCACCTTAACTATTTAACAACAAACTTGGACAAAAGAATGAAAAGAAGTCCCACAGAATAGAACAAAATGTCTATTTGAGGAAAAACATCCGATTCTATGTTTTAGGAGTTAAGAGGTTGGCTCGGTTGATTCAGATTTATATCGGATAACTACTACTAGTAGTCTGGTACAAGTACCTATGTTTATGCCTTGTGGTTCCGAGGTAACTTTTCTTATTAAAATCCTTACCCCTTCATCAGTGTCCACTGTCCTGACTCCGGACTCCTGAGCCTTCACCCCTTCACCCCTTCACCCCTTAACGTTTGAACTTCAAGACATTGAGAGCTTGATTGAGCCTTATGGCTTCAACCCATCAAAGTTTAAGATGGATGCTTACAAAAATCTTCAATTTCCAACGTGAATTCCCAGGTACATACCGGTACGCTGCCCCGCTGCGGAAAGTTCTGTTATGCGGCAAGTATCAATGATCTCGTATATTATATCTAGGGTCCAGCGAATCATGTCCGATTGGTAGTCATACCGATACTGATTATTTCTCTTCATTCCGCCGGATTCGGTGGAAGAGTGGATGTCATTTACTCTTTGTGAAGACCTTGAGGAGTTGAGATAGAATGACTAAGTTGTTGGATTTAGGGGAAGGGAAATGTTTACAATGCTGTCTAGAAGTCAAGAATAGTGTCCTAAGCATGATGAGTAGAATAATTTGTAGTACTATACAGTCAAATCAGTGGAACCAAAATAGTTGAAACCAAGTGAAAATTTCTGGGTAAACCTAATGTAGCAATCATATCACCTCTCGCTACATTACATACTCACATCTATCTTCAACACAAACGTAACCTCAAATTTCAATTCCTCTCAACTCCAAACTATGAAGTCATAGCCGGTCGAGTGAGAGGGGGGAGTACTGTATTACATTATCAAACCATTGCAAACTGATACCGGTACTCACGACAAACCCCGACCAAAGGTCCCAAGCCCCTCGAGCTATACTGTACTCAAAATACTCTCCCTTCAGGTATCATCCTCAAACTTCAAAGTATAAAGCAGCTCCAACCCTTTCCTTTCCTTTCCTTTCCTCTCCACACATCGCGAAGAATCGAACCACATCTACTCATAGTTACTCTCCCTTCGTCCACTACATTGCATTATCCATTTTCCATTTTCCATTCCATAACCATCCATGACCAGAGCTATTTCCATGCCTCTTTTTCTCTTTCTTCTTCTCTCCTGTATCAATCACTCACTCAATCACTCACTTACTCAAACCCCAGTTACCCCACCCCACCCCATTGTGAATTATAAGAAAAATATCCAGATTCATCTGATGATTCAATTCTCTGAGCTACTGCTAATTACTATACGGATTATTTTCTTAGGGACTTCGGGAAGTAATTTCATATGATGATGAAGTTGGATCGAATTTGTATTCGTATTTTGCGCATGAGATACTTTGTAAATTGTTGGTGAGGTTTATATCGATATCGATATGCGATATGCGATTTAAAGACAGTATCTAGATTCTAGATAGACTATCGGTTTGATGGTTGGTCGGCTAATCGGAATAGGGAGGGAGGGAGGGAGGACTTTGCTTGTGGGAGGAGGGAGGGGATGGCTAGGGATGGGATGGGATTGGATTGATGATGGTTTGGTTTTGTTTGTTTCGTTTGTTTTATGAATAATATCTATTACAGTACTATAACCAGCGAATATACCCGAGAGTAAATTAAACATTCTCTATTCTCTATACTCATATACTCATATACTCATATAAATACAAATACCAAATACAAACACAAATACAAACAACAAACAACAATTCTCAATTCTCATTAATACTACTTACTACTCATAGTATTGCCAGCGTGCTCGAGTACAAGTAAATAGGTTACTAACTAACTACTTGTAAGATCTTACAATGTGATTACTTATTCTCTGTTTTTGTATTCATTTTTATATTCATTGTAATATCCATTTCCCATGCTCATGCACCGTTTTCATACGCGTACGTGTCTGTTTCTCATATCGTAATATAAGAATATAAGCCGTATAGGTATATGCATCCATAAATCCATGTCCGTATCCATTCATATCCATCCCATTCCATACAATACTCCCGCACCAAGACCCCTAACCATCCCTATCCATGCAGCCCCTAACCCCCTTCCCCCAATCCCTTCCCACGCCACCCACCCCATCCCTCCCCCCAAAAAATCACATACAATTCCTCCCCTCATCCTCTCCAAAAAGACTCTGCACATGATGATAAGTTTCCCAATTCAAAAAGTCCCCCAAATCATGTCCTAGATTATAACCCATCGGAATATATTCATCCTTGATCTTCACTAGATTAATCGGCGAAGGCGGTAAACTATCATTATCATCATCATCATCATAATCATCGATTTTCGGCTCCGCAACATTCACTTTCAACACCACATCTCTCCTTGCGCCTCGCATGAGCGTTTGCGTCTGGGCTCGGATCATCTCTTGATCCACTACTTGTGGCGCACTATCACGAATGGTTTCTACCCACAACCCTCCTTTATATTCCGGAGTTTTGGGTCTTCCACTCGAACCCGTACCCGCACCCGCACTCCCACGTCCAGGAAATCCCAGACCTAGTCCAATAGTTGTCGCGCGATGATCTCTCCCCTCTTTATATTTCCTCGAACATTTATCCGCCTCGGAAGCCGCGAGCGATTTCCCACGTTTGCGACGCGAGGCGGGGGCTTCGGTGACGAGACGGCCGATACCCGGGTATCCGAAGCCGGTCCACCAGTCGAGGATGCTATCGACTTCGGCTTCGTCGGCTTCCCAGATGCTTTCTTCGCTGGCGCCTAGGGTGCCGTCGTCCATGGTGCCCGAGATGGCCATTTGGAATGCGGTCCAGTCGAGGGCTTCTTCGAGATCGGGGGCGGGCTCGGAATCGCGATGGTGGTTGTGGTAGACGTGTTCGAGACGGATGGGGCCGTGGCGGAATAGCGGGGAGGTGAGGGTGTAAGGTGTGCATGGTAATTCTATGTAGTCGACGGAAGAGGTGCTGGAATCTTGCGAATATTCAGAGTCCTGGGAGAAAGATCGTTTGGGGGTTTGTCGGGATGAGACGTGGAGGGGAGAGATTTCGGGGATGGTGGGTAAGAAATTGGTGAGGCCTGTGTTGGAACGACTTCGTGGGTGTCTGGGTGGTGAATCGTTGGGTGGAGAGGGGAAGTTTAAATCTTCAAATGCTTGTTCGATCGCATCGATTTCAGCATAGTCTGGATTTGGTATCTCGTGTAATGGCTTTTTGGTCATTCGTTGGTCTTTTTCCGACGATTCGGCTGTATCCACGGGTGTATATGGCAATGACGAAGCCGCCGAGCCATGAATGTGTGATGAATTGGAGACTTTATCATTGTTGATGCGAGGTAATAAATCTTCCAAATGAAAAGGTTCGGTTGGAGACATTCCATCTGAGCTTTCCGGCGATATGATGACATTTGTCTCAAACTTTTTATCCCCATCTATTCTATGTGATTTTTCCATTAAACCAATCCCATTCACATCCTCGGCACTACGACTGGCTTCATTCTGAGCAGTTTCCAATGAGGCTTTTCGTTCATTGTCCAACCTTGCCTTTTCCGCCTTTTCTTCGAGTTGTTGTAATCTATCCGGAGTCAACATTTCATCGGCTTCTAATCTGGTGAATTTCCCTTTAAAGACATCAGCCATACTGGCCGTCACATCTCCTAAATTCCATCTTGCACTTGAATGTGGATGTGGTAAACTCTTTCTCGAAGCCTTATCCGTCGCAGTAATCTTTTTTGGTTTGGGAGAATTTGATTTCTTTGCTTTTGAAGCGATGATAGATCTTGGAACTGGGGATTTTCCAGAAAGTCCATTTAATGATGGAAGTTCTTTCAAACTGTTGAAATTCGGATTCTGCATTTGATTGCGCTTCGAGATTGAATTGGTCCGTGCGATAGATTTATTTCCCGTTGATCCAGATCGGCGATTTTGTCGAGTATTGGTGTTGATATGGGTGTTGATATAGGTGGTGTTGATATGGGTATTGGTATGGGTATTGTTATTCGTATGGGTATTCGTATTGCTACTGGTATTCGTTGTGTTGGTATCTGTATTGCTATTCGTATATCCTCGAGTCGCAGCTTTTGCATCACCTAAAGCGAATCCAACTGCTTGAAATGCTTCATCCGTTTCTCGAATTAATTGTTCAACATTATCCGTAAATTCGACCATATTTTGTAAATCCGAACATGAAGCAGATGTCGATATGGATTTCTTATGGTGGTATTGAAATGGTAGAAATGATTTATCCTTTGATTTGATATTGAATCGATCGTATGATTTTGTTGATCGTATAAGTTTTTTGGTGGTGGTGTTGGCGGCGGTAGTGGTAGAGGTAGAGGTAAATGCAGAGGCAGAGGCAGAAGAAGAATTAGGAGTTGTTGGATTTCCTTTGTCATTACTTGGACTTGGAATGAGATGATTAAACAATGATGGATTATTTGGATCAAGGAAGAGATTAATATTTGATCCTTTCCCTTTTCCTTTCATAAGCTTATTATCTGACAAAGTAGCTTGCGCCCCTCTTGTAGAAGAATGTAACCTCAAATTCGAAGAGGCCTGCTGCAGATTTTCTAAATCTGAAAATACTATGCTGCTGCTGCAAGTCTGCGTTTGTGTTGCTACTTGTGCATCACCTGAGTTGACCTTTGGGGGCGTCAGGGTTTGGGGGAAATAATGATAACGGGGCTGACGATTATGATGCTGATTATTATCATTTATCTGAGTTGGTAATACCGGTACTGCTGAGGTACGAGCATCTGCTAATACAATAGACTCGGACTTGGATTTAGACATGGACATGGACAAAGAACCAATATCATCTCCAATCGGGGTTGTTTCTACCTTTGTTAGGTTCGGTGTACTCACACTCCCATGATTACCTACACTTCCATCCACACTTCCGCTCGCCGAGTTCTCGTTAAATCCCCAATCGAAATGTAAAGGACTCAATGGTAAATGTGTTAAATGTGTTGTTGTTGTTTGGTCGAAATCATTCCGTATCTGAGGTTGTTCTCGTACCATGATAGCAGTATTCCTTCTAACCGCACGTTTATCGGATTTGGGATTTTCTGATATCCAGAAAAAGCTTTCTGGTTGCCTATTGTTTGTGTTACGATCGTATTCGAAGAACCCATCAGCGCTGTTGCTCTCACGATGAAAGACCATTTGTTTGAAGCGTGACCCTGTCTTTTGAAGTGACATGATCGGAAAGTATTCGGTCGAAAATTTGATTGGAACAATTAGTTGAATTGTAAGTCCGCCGTGAATTTTAATTGGACAAATGTTGGGTATTTCGAGATACTGTACAGTACGATTTGATACACGGCGCAATCATCTGTACGACACGACACAAGACTTTAACTAGGGATACATAGAATACATAGGATGAATACCTAAGGTATATCTACAAACATATGATGGAGCTGTGGAGGGTGAATCTCGCATCCACTTGGTAGCAATGGGGGCTCATCTTTGAAGTTGAAGATCTAGCTCAAAAGATATATATTAATGATAGCCTGCTAGTGCACCGCTTGAGGATATATCACAAAATCTCGCGTGGTTAACAGATCAACAACATGCATGCCGGGAGCACATCCACACCGACCTCGTGGTACTGGATCCGAGAGACCAGATTCCTCTGGGTAACAAGCGCCGCCCAAGTCCAGACGCAAAATATCAACAGGTTCCGATATAATATAAGTGATAGGCTCTACCTTTAACTCGATACCGCAGAAGGAAGGTAGAATGGAATCCCCCGTGGCAAACTCACACACAAAGACACCCACTTACTTCGTACTGAACTCCATTGCGGGGATCTGGAATCTTGCAGTAGCGTCAGGGGTCGTCCCCGAGAACACAGATTCCCATAACGACGGATAAGCGCATAAACATATTTGTGACCGAGGCACTGCACTAATTTTAGATGCTAGTGACGTGATTGTGTACAATCTGCCTATCTCGAGCAAGGATGACATTGACTAGCAGTTTGCATAAAGAATGGGATGGTTCGTGGTTCCAAAAAGGTTTGAAGGAGGTAATGGATTTAGACACCAAACCACGAAGCTGCGTGAAGTTGTGTTCAAAAGGAGTCGTTCGAGTCCTCGGAGTTTCGGAGATGCTACACCAAATCTTTATTCATGACCGGAGCTCGAGTTTAATGCTGATGATACTGTACTGTTGATACTGACAAGTAATATGTGAATGGAGGAAATCAGAGGGGTAAGAGAAGAGAAAGTGACTTTCACAAGAGGTTTGAAAGAAATATGCAGTAAGTGCTGAGTACGGTACAGTAGTGGAGAAACGTGTTTGTGTTGTGCCGCGGTGTGCTTTGGTAACTTTTTTAGCGGCAGTTGGAATAAATTAATAGTGGATATATCCAAGTGTGATTTAGGTTCTTTTCATTCCAATGCTCACTCATTGCTCACTCAATGCTCACTACAAAGTATAGTTCAGTTCATGTACATGTATGGTAATACCTTCTACCTTTGTACACCATCTCCGTAAAGTATCAAAGGAGAAGAGAGGAGAGAAGAAGTAGAGAAGAGAGTTTCTACCATATTTTTGTGCCTCTAACGACGACGATACTAATACGTACTGGTTGATTAAGTAGTTTCTACTTAATTAGGCTAAAGTCGCATTCTATATACATGCACCCCACGTGATAGTGGCGCTTTTTCTCCAGAAGTCCCCGTTCCGGGCGGCTATGATGAACCCCACCAAGCAACCAAACAGCAACAACTAATAACAACTCTATTGGTCTCAACCACAACCAAGCCAAGGCTCTCTTGGATTTTTATTCCTGGACGACATATAGGCATATAGGTTGGTAAATACGAACGAGCAGGACTAATGTAATAACTTAGGTTGTTCAGCTCCCATTCTTCAGATTCTAGACTTCTTACTTTCGGTCATCACATCACACTTTCATATCACCTTCACACAAAGTTCCACTTTGAAATCAACCTTGGTCCTTGAATGAAAGACTGTTGGTAGTGTTAAAATCAAGACATGTTGCAATTGAACTCTAAGGAATACGGTCATACGATTGATAGGATTCAGTTAGGACAATCCACTACAGATATACCGGTATTCGAGTATAGGAAGAATCTATACACATCGCAAACAATGGGACAACAAACCACAAACACAACCACAAACCACACTTCTTCTCATATAGTTAAATCAGTGTATGCAAGTACATGATATATATATATATGATATCAATATACCTGCATCTTTCATATTTAGGTAATAGATACAATTGTGGTTGGCTGATCTATACATTACATTGCCGTGACATTGTAACATTCAAGCAGCAAACGAGTCTGCGCCACATTATTACCTTTCTTGAACTACCTAGGTACTTCATCCCAAGATAAGCCAACCCACAGAAGTATATTTAGGATATTAGTTGGATCCCTACCTAGACAGGTAATGTACGCATCCCATCCAACATTTTTGAAGATCGATCCTTTTCAAGCCGCGCTTGCGATAGACCTCCCTTGTCGAGATTCCCTTTCATGTTACCTTGATGAGCTAAGCCTCGAAATTGGGAAGGTCGTATCATACCTAGGTACACAATTGATTCAATTCAAGCCTAGAACACACTGGAAAATCATTGAACGTCTCTTAGATTGAATGTCTATGGTGATATTTTGTGCTTCTGGGTAAACATAAAAAATAAGTCCCTGGGCGAATCGGTATCATCGAGGAAATGGAGAAAGCCGGGTAAGCAAACTCAATTTGGTCTTAAACCAAAACACAGTATCAGCAGCTCCATCAGTCTCCATACCGAAAGGATATCTATCAAAGGATAGCACAGTCAAATTGTTCATTTCAACGTCCGCGGTCTCAACACCATGATTTCCATGATATACCACTGGTATCAGGTTCTATCTATCAAGTATTCGTCATCACTAACGACTTCATGAACTTTGCTGATCCTTCTTCTCCTTTCATAAAATTCATCGCACGGCATCTCTTGCGGTTGCACAACTCCTTCGTTGACGGTCCTTAACAATCCCATTCCATTCCACCACGATTCCTTATGAAAACGGCACAGTTGCACCTTCACCATCAATCCTGCAAGGCTGTTTCTGTTTCAACTATCATCTCTGGGATTTTGTTTTCGTTGCTCCGTCCATAGATCATCCACGTGCATCCAAGACAAATACGAGCTACAAAAACTTGTCCACTCAATCAACCCCCTTTGCAATTCTTTCTGTTCACGATATACCAACATAAGCATTCTTGGAAATTGGTTGGAATTCACATATTAATAATATGAATTCGCATACATATAGTGTCCATCTGGAGGAGCTACAAGCATGATCCGAACCCTCCCTTGAATTTATATTGCGCTGTTGAGAAGTGAAGGAATACTAGGTATCTCCTCGGTGGAAAAGTAAAATACCACTCTCCTTTGATTCCTTGAACAATTACGATTCGATTGTGCCATCGCATCATCGAGAAGTATTTCTTGACTCATGGTAGTCCAACAACATGAGACTATTTTGGCTTCTCCCAAGTACCCAGTGCCAAATGTGGGAGCAGAGAATTCAACGTCAAAATTCCAAATTTCACATGGACCTGATGTTTGTGTCTACGTATTTTCAATTAGGCATGTTTGTTGGCTTATTCTTGCTTGGTCTTACTTGGCCACTTTCTTTCTGATGACTTGTCTTGTTTTCTAATAGCTTCGCAGAGGTAGGTGTTTAAATAGCCATCTATAATTGGCAAACATCGTTTGATATCACGAATGGGAATTCAGGATCTATATAGGCTTCTCAGTCTGAATGACACTAATGTAGCCTAGGTCTGCCAGAGTTTATCAGTGCTCAATTGAGACATTTCTTTACGAATAGAATCACTTTTCCGTCAAATCCGCTATCCTCGGAGTTGGAAGAACTCTCAAAAATTACTTTCCTCATGCCAGTACCAGATACTCCTTACTATATTTTTCATTGACCAACAAAACAAAAATCCGTGCCTCTATCTCTCCACTGGTATCTGGCATCAGCCATTCTCGAAACGAACAAGCATGGTTCAGTTCAGCGGCTCACTCAAGATTATATAATTTGCTTCATGTTAATTGGTCCCCAACATCATTTCATTTCCAACCAAGCGTCTCGAGTATGAAATTGTGACCCGGGCTCGTGGTACGTACCGGTCCCAACTTGTTGGTGATGAAAAATTACAGGCCAGGGCCACCTCCATCAAGGCTGAAACAATTCGTTCTGTCTTTACAGTATCAATCAAACAATTCCAAATTCCAAATTCCAACCATGTACGGAAAGTAAGCTACTACAATTCGTGCATGCGATTATATTATCTCACTTGATGTTTTATTCCTCTTTTCACATCTAAACTCCCACGTGGGAGATCGGATTTAGTGCCGATCATATTATTACTTTAATGCCATCATCTTACACGCAGATGTCAGATATCAGATACCAATGGAAGACAGTAGTTCTTCGGCTCCGATTCCGATTTCTAAGAATACGGTATACACTATGTATAGCCGAGGTACTGTATGCATGTAATATAATAAGCACTTATGCAGGAGTCTAGGAATTTGAAATGATGCCTTGGGAAATAAATCATGACGATGACTAACGAATACGAATCTTTGATTGGATGAGATGAGATGAGATGGTGGATGAAAACTATTCCTGAGGTTAGGTTTGATTGGATTGGATTAGAATTTGGGGAGGGAGGGGAGGAGTTTGCTAATGTCATCTTAGTTGATATTTTTTGGAAGGATTGTGTTTGTTGTATCTGTGTTCTTATCTGTATACAACTAGGCTAGGTATACGAAATACTTTGGGGGGTAGGGAGCATTATGAGGTTTCCTGGTCGCTACACTCTGTCTCTGTCGTATTGAGCGACGATTAGACTAAGAATCGGGGAGGGGGCGCAAGTGCGTTGTTGAGCATTTATTCATGTTTCATCGCGTGATTATGGATTTGTATAGAGAGATATATGTTTTTGTGGCAAATGTATGATTTAGTGATCATTAATGATATCTTTCGGGGACTTCTAAGTGGATTGATAGTAATAGTGAGATATCATCGCATGATTTGCTTATTTTGTTTGGATTGTTTTTATTAGATTGTTTTTATTAGATGATGGTTAATTTCTTTTTATATACACTACTAGTATACGGAAGTTGATAAAATTCTCAAATCAAGAGACAAACTAGTTACTATAACGGTATCGGGGTCAGGGTCGGGGTTTTAGAATGCTCGATTGCTGCACCCCTCCGGCCGCCTTCCTCGTTTCTAGATGCCCGTGCCTCTCCCGTTCTCGCCGCTGGTTTCTTTGATGACATCCCCAAGAAGGATGGTCAACAGGTGGTTATCTCTTTGTCTCCGTTTGACTCTTTGCTAGATACCCTCATTGCTAGTTCTCATGAAGGAGTTCTAGTGTCAAGCTGTGTTGGGTGATTAGCTCTGTTGGGAATAGCCACCGGGATGCCTGCGCTAGGCTGCCTCGGTCATCCATGAAATCTTTGCATTGTCGTGCCCCTTGCTGATTGATCATATTGTGGTCTCTGATTGTTGAGTCTTGTGCAGTAAAAGATGGTATGATTTGGCGTTTGTCTTCTCCACCCGCACAGGTTACAGTGCGGTTTGTACCCGGGAACCCTTAGTGATGCTAGAAAGGCCCTTAAACCCATCTTCTCAGTTCGGATCTCTAGGGCCATAGAGCTTTTTCCCTTGATCATTTCGTCAAACATCCTTAATCGGTTCCTTCCTAGTCTCATATCAAATTCCACTGGGGTTTAAAGCATCTAATTTCGCTTACGCATTGTCGCCATCTAGCTCTTCACGGGTGTTGTGTATGCTTGATATACCATGCTCGGGCTGTTGATTTGTGGATAAATCCTTCTTGAGGTCGCTACAGTCTGTCAATCCACCTTGGTATGCACAAACTAATCTTGTAACCTTCCTTAACTTCCATTGCCCATTCTAGCTTTTTTGCCCTGGTAGGTAGCAACATGATTATCTGATCCACAGGGCCTTTTATATACTCGTTACTTTTTCACACACTTTGTCCCCAAGTTGTTTCGCACCATTACCCTCTAGCCTATATCTTATTGTTGCTTATAGTTTATCTAGATATAGTTCCATTTCAGGGTAATCTATTTCGGCATATAATATTGGAATTAACATCGTTTTGTAGATGATGGATATTATACAAAAAGCTTTATTCTATTCCTGCTATACTCGAGTAGTACAGTTATATTTAGTTTTAATCTTTCCTTGTATATCATGATTGGTGGAGCTAAATTAAACATTACTCGCGTAGGTTAGTGTGGGGCTGATCACTGTCCGACATACATGTCTCGCTTGTCGGAGGGTTAGCCCTCAGGTTGACGTCGTGGTTCGTGTTAAGGCCAGCATTTGTTTGTGTTCCTGGTTTCTTGAGCACTTGCTTGACGTATTCCTGCCATTTGAGCTTGGAGTCAATATGTACCCCCAGCACCTTAATTTTCGTCGTGGAGGGAACAGTGTTGCCTTGGATCCTCATTGTGGCCGCCGTGTCGTGGTGCTTCGGGCTGCGGGAGAGATAGTAGGAGTTGGTACTTTTCAGGGGCGAATCTGGCTCCATGCTTTGATGCCCAGTCCATGAATTGCCGATGGATCGCCGTTAGGGTTCTGCAGTTGGTTTGCGTTGTGTTGCTCCAGGTGAGGATGTCTACATCGTCGACAAATCCCACAGCACTGGATTTTGGATGGAAGTCGGTGCAAGCTTTGATGAGATTTGAATTGTAAAACAGGAATAGTACGGGGCTGATGGGGGAACCTTGCGGGTATCCCATTGGCCACCCTATATTGAGGGCTTGTGTAGTTATCTACTTGCACACTGCTGGTTCGATCTGTCAAAAAGCTCTGCACAAATTGTGTCATCTTCTCTGGTATTACTTTAAGACGTAGAGTATGTAATAAACGCTTGTGTGAGGCATTATCATATGCTCCAGACATGTCTAGGCTCAGTAGAGAGGCAAGTGCTACGCGGGTGGAGATCGAAAAGTGGTCGGATCCAAAGTCCAGACGGGTATCTACTTTGCTGTATGTCGTGATTTCTTTTAGTCTAGCCTAGGTGTGATCCATGTGAGATCCATAGTTGACGTTTGTACTCCTCTCATCCAAGTTGGGATACCTGATTCCGTGATCAACTCCAAATCATAAAGCTCCATTAATGTGATTTGTATTTATAAAAATAAAAGTACCAGATATTAGATTGAGATAACTAAAGCTTGTTTATTTTAATCTCCACTTCTGCACCATCAATTCCAGTGCTACCACCTCATATGATGAAGATTGAAATCACCTATGACTATTATTTCTCCCTCCATTCTTGCCAACTCCTCCCCCAGTGATGTTAGTGTGGTCGGTCCTCGGCAGTGTGATGGGGACATAGGTATGGGGTTGTAGATGTTCATGACAGTCATTAGGATTTCCTCGCCATTTAAACTTGTTTGATTCCCACCTTGCATAGATCCTGCTGAGGAGGGTCCGCCTTCCAGTTGTGTATATTCAGAGCCCTGTTGACAAGGATGACTACTCTGGTTCCCGTCGTTTGTCGATGTATTAAATGCCAGCTTTTGTTAGTATATGTACAGATTGAACCATGGTTCTTGTATTGCAATGATATGGTGCTGTAGTATCTCTGGGTCGTCTAACCGCAGCATCATTACCGTTTCTGCTTATTCAAATTAATCTGTAGTAAGGAAAAGTCTGTATTGTCCAACATTCAGAAGTAACTGAGTCGTTGTCCTCTTGTGTGTATCCCATTTCCATTTTAACTGTCTCCTCTATTTCGGGGGATTCCCGGGTGGTTGTTGATGGGGTGCCTTCTCGGGGCGCTTGGAACGAACTTGGTACTTGCATCCACTGGGTCATTATTGTCTGGCTAGAGGGGATAATAGGCCTTTCGTAGTTCTCTGTGTATTTTTGTAGGTGCTGGGGATATTCGGTCCCATGCCGGTGGCCTCCGTTCCGTACCTTGTTGGCGTGAACGGTGCCATTTTTTTAGTCGTATCAAACTTTATTTGGAGCGTTTTGCAAGAGTGTCGATTCTATGCTCTATGATTCATATTGCAGTTGGCGCATCTCCAATGTTTTTCGTATTCTATTTCTGCAGATGTGTAGGTGTGTGTCTGTGTGATGATCCCCGCCCAGCACGTTCTACTAGGGTCACACGCGCCCGCCGGACAAAAAATAACAAACAAGCAAACATCTACTCGAGTAGGTCTGACAGAACAGGCTAGAATTCAAGTAGGAGTTCAAATACAATAGGTAAATAGTTTCAATTCTCATAACTATTCTCTAGGAGTACTCAGTAATAGTTCCAGGCATATCGTCAGCGAGCCAGCGGAGAATCGAAAGTTAGCTGATAGCTTGCTTGCTGACTCGTCAACCACTTCTGCCCACCTCCTTTACCGCGTCCGGGCTTGAAGCCCACTTTTTCCCTCAAATATATTCGATGGGATGGTAAGATACATCTAGAACGCCGTGGCTCCCTTTTGTGGCTTGATTCTGGGCTTAATCATCACGGGCTTTTAGGCATAGTATGAGATGTATAAATCTAAAGCTAGAATGAGATAACCATATAATAAGACTGGCCTTCTTATGAAACCTCACACACACAACAAAAATCAGGAAACTTTTTCTTCGAAATACACCTCTTTAAAGGTCGATCTAGACCAAAAAGATTAAAATAAATCTATTGCAATTGCCCCCAAGCGATTCTGACCAGTAGTTGTTGTGATACTGTCGTCGGCGCCCCAAAACACACATATATACCAAGGTCTACTACAACTTAGTAGTGGATCTACAATTCTTCATATACAACTTCCTTTAACTCTAACGGATAATCTATATATTCGAAATGAGTGAATCCATTATAGAAGTGTCGTCTGATACCACTATAATCCCGAACACATATCCAACGATCACTCTGGGTACACCCACTCAAACCAATCAATCGCCCTCGCCGTTTCAAACTCAGATGGATATATCCAGCCCTATCTCAGAAACTACTCAACCCTTCAAAACAGCTTTCAGAGCAAGCGACTTCAATCCTTTCGATAATCCATTTGCAACACAATTATCAAATGCAGAATTTTCTGCCAACTCTCACCGCCCATTCCTCCTAAACAGGAAACGTGGTCCCTCTGATACTC